GAACAAAAAACCCAAAAAAAATCTTTGATCATAACAAGCTTCATATTGCATCTAAAAGCTAAAATGCAGTTGGAGGAAGGGCACGGTATCAAAAAGTTATGATATGTGACCACTACTATTCTTGTAACATCCAAAATCCAGAAGGATAGCAACACCTTAAGGGAAACCTGAACCAGACGGTGCTCCACCATATCCTCCTGCACCTCGACCAAAGCCAGGCCTTCCGCCAGAACCCTGCAGCATCAAAAGAGGAAAACTATAAGTCAATGCAAATGGCTATTAAGTACTTGTACTGAGCTAACAAGGGTGAAACAGTCATCTTTCAAATATTTTTACAGTCTATGTGATTAAAGAATCTGAAACTGCCTCAGCTTAATGCAAGTTATCACTAAGGGAGAAAGGATAAGCTATGCACCAAACACAAAGAAGAATGCCATATGACTTTTCATATATAAAAGACAATTAGTTTTAGGCTGAAACTACAATATGTCAGAACAAAACCAGTATCTTGCAGCCAAAGGTCACCGTAATTAATCCTTTTTACAGAAAGTAAAACGAATCCTACAATTCCACACTTAGTTGAGGAGCAAGGCTCAGAAAAGAGAATCCAATTAATTAAAGAATTAACAGTCAGCATGACGACAAGCACCAATGATACATCTAAAGGAGCACTAAAAAACTCACTACAAGGGGCTAATCTATCTTAATCTTTGTTATTGAGAGAATGAAAATGTCACAAATATCAAGCACTTAAGTCTAAAATGCAAGGAAATTGTTAACCAGTTAATGCAAAAAGCTCTTGATTTCATGTTATAAGTTCTTGATGTACACAAAATTAGCTATAGTTACGCATCATGACAAAGATTTAAAAAATAGAGAGTCGATATAAAACCGTAGACTAACCCTAAAAGAAGGCTGGAAATCTGCAGGCGCTCCTCCCTTTTCGCCACCAAAATCTCCTCCTCGGGGACCTCCACGGTATCCCTCTCTGTCACCAAATCTTGGACGGTCTCCGTCAAAGCGAGGAGGGCCACTACAATGGCAAGCAAAGTACATTAATCACAGACAAAGGGGAAGAAAAAGAGAGAAATGATACACCATAACAAGAATAAAAGGTAAATTTAAAGTAGGTAATGATCATTGATCAATAATAATAGGATGAATTACCGTGGGCGATCACCAGGTGGGCCACCCATAGGCCTACCAGGTGGTTTAGCAGATTTCTTCAAGGTAGCAGGAACAATTTCAGATGGAAGATTGAGGTATGTTCTCAAAAACTCAATCCCATCATTGGTAAGGTACCAGTAGTAATGCATCCATGCAAATGTCTCCCTAACATATTCCTTTGACTTGAAGCTTTGCATCAGCTTAATCACCTGCAAATTGGGCACATCGATCTCGGGGTGCTTTGCAAGATTGAAATCCTTCTTGGCGTAGCAAACTCCCTCTGTAAACAAATCAGATTTTATCAATAAAAAAACAAAAAAGACAAAATTTGATCATCTGGATCGCAACGGTTTGCAAAATTAAAAATGGTCAGTACCTCCAAAAAGGTAGAAACAAAATACTAAAAAAATCCCATATTCTAAAAACAACAGCTATATTCTGTGGTATTTTCTTGCTAAAATGTTCATAATAGCAATTAGAACCCAACTTCACTATAATGTTACTACCAGTTTGCAAATAAATAACAAAGAAAGCAGGAAACATAGATTCAAAATTTCCTCAGTTTTCTTGAAGCCAAACAGATCCAAGTGAACAATAAACAAAACAATTAAGAAAAATCGCATAAACCCAAGAAAAATCAGAGGCCATATGCACCTTGAAAGAGGTATTTGGAGATTTCCCTGCGATTCTTCTCGGGAATAATCTGCATAAAAAATAAGACACAGCTTCAAACATCGGCACAAACACATTGAAACATGCACCCACATAGGTTAGAGAAAAACAAACCATGGTGGCTAGGGTTTTGTTGCCGCGGCTATCCTACACCAAGAAGCTCGGTTGCAGTAGACAAACTGAAACCCTAGATAAATGTTCTTAATTATATAGATAAGTTGTCATGGGCCGGGAAATTGACCAATTGGATATTAGGCCGACCTAGTATTGGGTAATGGGCCGCTAATCAGAAAATTCGAAAATTAGTTTTTAAGTGAAATTTAGGATGTTTATTTTAGAGTATGGTAATGTCAAAATATTTAATTATATAGTCCCAAAATAATTGGGACATGGTATCTTAAATTTTTTTGATTTTTTAACAATAAAAATTTACAATAAATCTAAAAATATCTATCTACATAGCCTCGAGGGAGTCACCAAAAATGTTATACTTATATTACTAATACATAGTATTGTTAGTTTAATAATATAATATTAAATGAATAAATATATATAATATTATATATAATTTTTAAATAAAAATAATCAATCATATAAACATTTTACAAATGTAAAGTATAATATTATATGATATTATAGATATATTGGTTTTAAACAAGTTTTACATCTAA